TGCTGGATTCCATGCTCTAGTAAGGTAATCTATGTTCAGAGAAGTTTCCCCGAACATAAATTCACCGTCTTCCATGCGCCACCACTAATTTATGTTCGGGGAACTTTCTACAGCATGATTGCTATGGATAACACTGCAGTGTTTATGGGCCAAAGATCTCAAATGACAATTCCCTCAAATGGTTACGAAAGCGCACGTGTTACCTGTATTTTGGTAATTCGTCTGGATGGAAAGAAAGCCCCACCTGTCTTTCTTGCCCAACATTAAGGGCAAGAAAGAGAAGATTGAACGTGTTTCACGCATTTATGTTCTTGAAACTGAAAAAGCCTGGTGCACACAAGCAGTTATAAGGAAGTGGGTCAATTAAATGCTGCCACTTGTTTTTCCAAACAGCTCTGCTAGTCTGGGATTCAGCCAGCACTCACCGTGCTAAAGTTATGAAGAACTTCTTTGCAGAGAAAAGAATTAATAAAATAATGATTTCCACAGGAATGATTGGCTATCTCCAGACTCTTGATATTGCAATAAACGAGCCATTCAAGAGTCATTTGTGCATGAAAATCAATGACTATATTTAAAAAAGAATGGAGATGGGGGGGCGGAGCCGGCGCTCGTGCTGAATGGGCGCGTGAGGACGGAGCTCCCGAGCTAGCGGCTAAATAAGCATAATAATCAGCGGCGAATCAGCACACAATCACCCCTACCTAACGAATAACTCATCATGTCACAAAGGAGAACGAGAAAAGCGGCAGACACCAAAGAAAAACATTCGTTCTTTGCAGCAAAACCGACAAGCCAAAAAGGCTGGTGCTCACAGCACAAGGTGGCGACGACAGAGAAACATCTCGGCCTCAATCTCCTCGGTGACCTGTTCCATAGAATTCTGGATGACATGGCGGCTAAAATTCAAGCTACAGTACAACTGGCCATAGCGGAACTCCAACGAGATATAGCAGACATAGGTAACCGCACAGCCCACATGGAGGGCAAGATGGCGAAATACGCCGAAGCACATAACAACATAGCAGAAAAAATAGAAGAAATGGAAGCACAGCTGGAAAAACAAGAAACAAAAAATATGGACCTCGAAGACAGATCCCGGCGCCAAAACCTATGGGTGAGAGGGATACCTGAGAACGTACAAGCAGTAGAATTCATGGCCAACCTCACAGGCCTATTTCAAGCTTTAGCCCCCGATATACAATCTAATCTGATGCTCATGGACAGAGCGCACAGGGTGGCGAAACCACAACACTTACCCGCTTCAACACCAAGAGATGTGTTAACAAAGATGCACTACTTCCATGTCAAGGAGGCCATTATCCGCTCCAAAAGGCCACAACAAGATATCCCTGAACAGTACAGGTCCATCCAGTTATATGCAGACCTATCAGCAGAAACACTTCGGCACAGGAGAACTTTTAAGGAGATCACCTCTGAGTTGAGGAATAAGAAAATTCAATATCGCTGGGGATTTCCCATCAAATTGCTGATCCTGCGAGAAGGCAAAACAGATGCAGAAGCTGGCGCTCGACTACTACGTTCCTGGGGCATGGCCACAGCCATGGCAGAAGATAGGCCTAGACAACCAACAAAACTTCAAGCGAAATGGCAGCGAAAACTTCAAGCGAAAGGTCAGACATTCCAAGGCACCAAGGAACGCTGCCGACAAGTGAATTCACGGAGTGGCGAAAGACACTACTCGTCTGACGGCCAAAGGGCCTAACATAATCACGAGACTTCGCAAGAACTAATGGACATGTACAAACCCACTGAATTGGGAACACCTGTATTGAAATGCCGATGATCGCGAATGGGTAATATGTTTTAAATTAAGATTTACATATATGACCGACATGTATGTTCAAATACCCAAGAGGGATGATCACTTAAGAGGGGCTACCATAGGAGTGACACGTCTCTGGGCACTGTAGGTACAGAAACGAAAACCACGCATAATCTTGTACAAGACAGGGCCCAGTCAACTGTTAGTCCCAGACACAGATACACCACTACCACTACCAATACCCTCTTCTCCCCTCTCAGAAATATACACAATAGATGTATTATGTAGCCACCCACCCGACCTACAAGTAAGGGCATAACCAGCGGAGAAACAACTAACACCATTCGTGTAAGTGGGACACAGGGATATCCCCTCCAACAACCCTATTTAAGGAGTGATTGCTGTAACTATACTTTATATTACCCCACAGATAGCAAGTATAAGAGCCGTATGAGCGGGACTGCGGTCGTCATGGCGACCGACAGACTGGACCCGGAATCCCAAACCCCCCGGGCAGCCCAGGCTAGTGAGAGTAACTAGCACTACAACCTGAGCCCTCAGGGAACTCGAGGGCATAATGATCAAGTCACAGTTATATCTATGTTCATGCTTTTGTATATATGTTTTTCTTTTCCTATGGTTGCACACACACCTACGCAAGCCTTTCGGTATGCATACATCTGTAATGGCAGGGTTAAAATATTGTATGTGAAACGAAGTCCCCAGGAGAAAAAGGTTAGAGAGAGACACTCAGATCTCCGGAGCGGGACTGCCCCCGAGTCAGCAAACCCTTCAATTAGGTATGGAGTACATTACAACAGGTCACCTCCTAAGTTAATGCGAGACGAGACAGCATCCCCCCCCGAACACCCACGTTCAGTCTGAAACTGTATTCACATAATGTCCAGGGCCTGAACATCCCATACAAATGCCACACCCTTGACAGGGAATTGAAAAAGGCTCAGGCTGATGTAGTATACCTGCAAGAGACACATTTTAGGACAGACGCTCACCCCACCCTGGTCTCCCGCTCCTATCCCCATCAAATACATGCCACTACATCACAAAAATCTAGAGGGGTTTCCATACTACTAAGTAAAGACCTTACAGTGTCCTCACACAACCAAATAATTGACCCAGGGGGCAGATACGTCATCTGGCAAGGTACCATCAACGACTTAGAGTACACACTGGTGAACGTATACTCCCCAAACACAAACCAGAGAAACTTCCTACACAAGGTCCTCACCAAAACGGAAAAGGTGAGAAAGGGCACCCTTGTTCTAGGTGGGGACCTTAACCATGTTTTAGACCCAGCGATAGACTCAACCAGACCTACATCCTCCCCACACTATAAAACCCTTAAAAAAACACAGCAGAGTCCTCAGATCCCTGCTGTCCTCATTTGGACTCAGGGACGCGTGGAGAGCTCTACACCCCTCGGAAAGAGCCTACACACACCACTCGAAAGTACACAACACATATTCCAGAATCGATGGATGCTACATGCACGAATCCACCATGACCAAAATCTTAGATTGCGACCACGCACCAGTGGCACTATCACTCGCAAACGCATATGAATTTAAACACAGAAGCCCATGGCGCCTTAATGAGTACCTGCTTAAAAACGCACAATTCTGTAACTCTCTAGAAAAGGAACTACAACACTACTTCAAAACCAACACCACACCCGAACAAAATCCTCACATGCTGTGGCTAGCTCATACAGCAGTAATAAGAGGCACACTCATAAGCAGGGCCTCTTTCCTTAAGAAACAAATGGAAAAAGAAACGACACAATGTAAAATACAACTTGATAAACTACACATAGAAAATCAAAAACACCGCTCAGAGATACACAAACAACAAATACATGCACTCCAAGAGAAACTCTATGAAACCCGACTACATAAATTTGGTCTCATGCTAAACAGACTGAATACTCGCACCTATGTACAGGGTAACAGAGCTAATAAGCTCCTAGCACAAAGATTACGAGACAGACAGCAGCAAACAAGGATAGCTCACATTGTCAACAAAGATGGCAAAAAACTACATCTACCTTCAGATATATGCAAGGAATTTGCCCAATACTATAGCCAGCTATACAATCTTGCAGAAGACCCTAACACCCCGAGACCCACAAAAGCAGGCATACGATCCTACCTTAATGACATCCCGCTTCCAACCCTAAACGAAACCCAGAAACGCCTACTAGCACCCTCTATCACAGAAAACGAAATACTTGACAGCATTGACTCCCTTCCCAAAGGGAAAGCTCCAGGCTCCGACGGCTATACAAATGAATATGACACAACTATTAAACATATTCTGGCCCCACACCTTACCGCAGCGTTTAATCACGCGCTACACATGGGAAAGTTCCCTTCAGAGTTTCTAGCTACTAGAGTAATAACACTCCCGAAACCGGGAAAACCGCCAACACACTGCCAAAACTTCCGACCAATATCTTTATTAAACGCAGACACCAAACTATATGCCAAAGTTCTGGCCACTAGACTTAAAACCATCCTCCCATCCCTTATTTCAGACGACCAGGTGGGCTTTGTATATGGGAGACAGGGATCTGATAACACCCGGAAGGTGGTGGATATCTTGCAAACGATACACATGGACCGGTCACAGGGTCTTATATTATCCCTAGACGCAGAAAAGGCCTTTGATAGACTGAATTGGCATTTCCTAGAGGCAGTCCTCACGAAATTTGACTTTCCCCCCACGTACCTAACTGCTATTAAAGCACTATACAGCCTCCCTAATGCTGCAGTATCGACCTCAGGGTTCCAGTCAGACCCATTCGACATCACCAATGGCACTAGACAAGGGTGCTCCCTATCACCCCTCCTTTATGTAATTACCCTAGAACCACTCGCAGAAGCAATCAGACAAAACCCGAATATACATGGCATAAAGATAGGAGACAAGGAATACAAAATTAATCTGTTCGCAGATGACATGCTCTTGACACTCTCCCAACTGACCATTTCACTCCCCAACCTACAAAAAGAACTACGTAACTACGGTACACAATCCTACTTTAAGCTTAACACTACAGAAACCCAAGCGATGGGAATAGGGATAGAGGGCGACAATATGGACAGACTAAAAGCAGCATTTAAATACGACTGGAGACAAGACTACCTTACCTTCCTTGGCATAAAATTGACAAAATCACAAAACTTGCTTTGCGATGAACTACCAAAAACTACACACGGAAATAGTGAACACATTGAATATACCTATCTTGAGTAGGCCGCTCCGCACAGTACAAATAAACATCCCTGTGAAATACCTCAAGGCCCTCCAATCCACACTTTTAAAATTTGGATGGCAACATAAAAAACCTGGAGTTCCATGGAAACGCCTATCCAGAACAGTAAGGGATGGAGGCCTAGGCTTCACCGATATGAGGGAATACCAAAGAGCTACACAACTAGCCAAAGTGATAGGGTGCCATGCACAGGCCCACACCCCCCAGTGGGTGTACCTAGAATCCAGCAGACTGGAAGGTAAAAATCTGCCGCACTTTTTATGGGCCACAAGGGAATTGAGACCGCATACCCCAAAGATACTACCAACCACCAGGCTAATGCTTTCTATATGGGACAAAAACAGAAATAGGGTGAGCTCGAAGCTCAAATGGTCCCCTGCAACCCCGCTGAAAACTCTACACATAATCAACCCTTCATTCAAATACAAAATATGGGCAGCCCATGTATAACGGCACCCCCAGACATAAAAGGGGTTAACAGCCGTTTAGGAGACATTCCCTTACAGATAAACAGGCAGCTACTGTAGACACCAATCCACCGAACCGGAGAAGCATAAACAGCCGAATAGGAAAAACCATACGAATAGGTTTACACTCCTAGCAGTCGAACTGGAACAGCATACAATAAATCCCCCCAAGAACGAGACAAGGCTCCGTTTTGAGGGTCAAGCAGGAGCAGACAGAGCTGTGGGTTTATTGTTCTTATATACACATTCTTACACATTAGTACCACCCACAGGGTTTTGCAAAACAACCAATTAACACGTACAATACACTCAGACACTCCCACACAAAATCCTCCCCTCTGCCTGTGATACAATTACCTAACACAATGGGCTAATGTAATTATCACAGGCAGAGAAATACAGTTTCCACATTATTCATAACTTTAAAAGTATGCATCACATTCGTCAAAATCATACAAATTGGTCCAGTGGGTCAAAAGATAGATCGTAGTCCTTTGTAACCAAATGAAGCATGGCTTTTCTGCCCAAAACCAGTTCCACAGAGTCTTCTATCCTGGAGATAATTGGGAAGTAATCCAATTATCTCCAAGGACAGAGGCAAAACTCCATTGAACATATGGTAGCAAAAGACAATAAAATACATAAAAATATATAACTGTGCAGCGATTGCTCAGATCTAAGCTATCCACAGATAGCTTAGATCTGAGCACACATTATTACTGAATGGCGCTCAGATCACATACATTCAGTTCAATTGTCATGGAGCCAAAGTCTTTCACATAGTCTTTCGTTATACGAATGGGCTCCATGGCATAGCTATCTGGGGTATCACAGTTCAAATAGAGCAAGTACCGAATGAACCGGTTTTCATGTCTTTGCAGGAGAAAATCAAGCGTTTCAACATGGGGCCATAGTCTAAAGGTAGCAGGCGGGCAAGCAGGCTCCTCCAATGCACGGTGGCGAGATTGATCTCGTCACACCATGACATAACCCATTTACACCAGGTACTACACCAGGGGTCTCTTAAAACCTTTAAAGATCTGCAGGCACAGTTTAATATACCACCCCTGGCCCGTTTCTCACACATGCAAATGCACCACACACTACGAGAAGACAGTCGACACACAAAGACAGAAAGCAGGGAAACCCAAATGACACAATTTGAATACAAATGTTTAAGCATGAAACAACAGAAAAAAAACTCTCATTCTGCTATAACTCACTTATAGAAGAACCACAAACACAACTCTGGGGATTCCAAAAAATTGGCACAAAGATCTAGGCAGGGAACTAACACCCCAGGAATGGAATGCGGCCTTCAAGGCCCACAAAGGCATGCCGATATGCACCTCTCACCTTGAGATTTCCAGGAAATTAATGTACAGATGGTACCTTACACCAGACAAAATCTCCAAAATGTACAACACAGTCGACAACAAATGCTGGAGATGCCAGGGAGCTATAGGAGATACACTACATATATGGTGCACATGTCCACACATACGACCGCTCTGGGACACAATAGGTGACATAATTAAAGATAGTACAGGGACACGTATACCATTGTCTGTGGAAACATACTTACTACACATTTTGCCACTGAACCTACCGAAACCAATTAAAAAATTGTTTTTCCTCATTATTATAGCAGGGACAACTGTCATTGCTAGAAACTGGAGATCGACCACGACCCCATCTAAAAACGAAATCCTAAATCTAATATCTACAAATGTGGCATATGAAAGGTTTGCAGGAGCACGAGGACACACAGGGCTCACGAACGTACAAATACACAACATGTGGCAAACGTACAAAATACACACTCAAACGGTAAGGGCTGAGACAAACGCAGGTCCTAACTTGAGATCTTCTCAAGATACCTAGATTCACGTAAAGAGAGGAGATGAGTAACATACCCTCAATATAGACCCAACTGATAACCCACACAGAAAAGACACCAAAAGCCATTCATAATACGACACAAAAAGAACCATAGGCTGTAAATATGTTTATGTTTATGTAAGTTAATATATGTAAATAAGTTACCCCATGTCTAACCTTCTCGGATATGTTGTATGAGTAAAACCATGAGACCACCCACAGAAAATAATGGCACTGTTAACCAAACACAATGAAAAATCAATGTAAAATAATGGAACAGATGTTACATACTCTGATATGCAATATTATCCCTATCCCTTCTTTATTCTCTAACCCCAACCACTGTCTCCATGTTTACATGTCTACAAAAATTGAAAATAAAAAATTGTCAATTTAAAAAAAAAAAAGAATGGAGATAAATCATCGTGGAAGCTTTGTGAAGCCTAGCCTGCAAGAGGTTGTGACTGGATGAAGAATTCATGGGATAAAATCACTGACAGCTGTTGTCAATGCACTAAGAGCAGGCTACATGGACAAGTAGTACTCATTTAAGGAGAGCTATATTGCTGGATATGAGAGATTGGGGACAAAGGAAATGGAGTCGGAAGAAAATCAGGCTGGAATTCAGAGTTTGGAGAACTATGACGATGTTCCAGAAAATGACATGATTGTATTTGAATCAATGTTTTGTTGTACATTTATTGTTGTACCATACAATAAATCTTTTGTTGTACATTTATTGTTGTACCGTTCATTAAAGACATCCCCTGAAAATAAGCCCTAGTGGGGTTTTTTGGAGCAAAATTGAATACAAGACCCAGTCTTATTTTGGGGAAATGCGATATCTATATATATCAGTATTTTTAAAGCACTCACTCGGAAGGTGAAACACTCATGCTGCAGGTAGTTGAAAAGTTGTGAAGATCCACACTGCTAGACTGGGGCTGTAACTCTGAGCACTGAGCTGATTCTGTTTCAATCTGTAATGATTGTTGCATCTGTTAACCATGTCATCTATATTAATTCCATATTGACACTGAAGATTGATCATATTGCCAAGTGCAAAGGTAATAAGAAGTCTGCTAGTATACTGTTGCTTTAACTCTGTGCACATGGGGACCTGAGAGTTAATAGTGAGTAGCAGCTGACATGTTTCATAGCAGCATAGCAGTAGAAAGCTAACGTTGTCCTAGCAAGAGCACTACTGAAGTTGAGATCAAAAAAGAGAGAAATAGAGACTCAAAGAGGGTTAGAGAGCTAAAGCAAAACAAATAAAACTGTGTGAGTATCTCTGTATTGCAACTCTGGGTAATCCATCACACATGGCAGTGTGACATAGTGGTATCTCCTTATTGTGCCAGCTCTCTTTGTTGTATTTTACTCAGGTCTGTCTTCTGCATTGTCTACCAAGCTTTGTGTATGTAATAAATATATTTGTGTTGTGTCTTAATCTGTGTATTGTATAGGTATCTCTGCATTATGTTTAGCTCCATATATGACATAGGTATCTCATTATTGTATTGGATTCTTTGTAGTTTATGTATCTCTTGATTGTATTTAGCTCTGTGTATAAGATAGGTATCTCTTAATTGTACCTACCTTTGCGTATTGTATGGATTTCTCTGTATTAAACCTAGATCTGAGTACTGCATTGGTAACTTTGTATTGTATGCAGCTCTGTGTATTGTATGGGGACTATCATTAGGGGTTATGTACATGAGATTAAGAGGACAGATGCCACAGGTGAGAAGACAGTGGCTATAGAGGTAAGGAGTGGAGTGCCCCACCATCTCTAAACTTCACCAGCCCATATTATTCATCAGTATATTTGTTTTTATTCCACTTTGCTGAATGCGTTGATTTGTTAAGGGTTAATATAAAAATGCTTTTGGTTTGACTGAACTGACTTTGACAGCCAGCAGGGAAATATTTCAATGTACCGTGCAAAAAGGTTCTTCTCCTGTCCTGCGACTCTAACAAAATACATTATACTGAATACTGTTTTCAGCGTTTATTACATCTATTTGTAATATGGCTGAATGGTTCTTCATTACAAGTCATTACCTCCAAACCAGGTTAAACCGGAATAAAAAAATAAATAATAATACATATATATATATAAATATATATACATATATATAGAGAGAGAGAGAAAGAGAAAGAGAGAGAGAGTTTTGATCATCTTAGGGTAATTTACTAAATTGAGAATTCAAAGTGAATTTCTAATTTAACGCCAACATAGCCAAACTGGAAGCAAAGTTGACTTATTTTGACTTTAAATTTGCTGTGAATTCACTTTTAATTCTCACTTTTAATCCCAGATAACCAATATTATTGAGACCTCAACAAGAGACTAAATAGACCTACGCATAAAAATGTTTTAAAATCAAACAAAAACTAAAGTCAATCAAAAATCTCCAAAATCAGCACTGGAAATGTAATTCACATAATAATGCAGTGAAATGGTTAGTAATAACTGAAATACAACATCAATTGACTTAAAAAAGGATGCAGGGCGTGAGGACATCCAGCGTCAGTTAGGTAACAAAGGTTTGCCTAGCAAGAAAGAAGTGCCTCTAGTGGCTATCTGATTGACAGCCACTAGAGACACTCTTAGTCCTGCAATGTCATTATTGCAGTTTCTAAGAAACTGCAATAATTAACATTGTAGGGTTAAGGGGACAGGAACACTGCAGCCAGATCACTTTGATTAGCCGAAGCGGCCTTAGTGCCTATTAATAAACATACATAAATTTTTCATGATTTAAGATAACAATATAACAACTAACATGTCTGCTCTTCTCCCAGAACTAAAACAAGAAATTCTATGTATATCATGCAAATATAGCTTTTATCATATACTAAACAAAAATAAGTTTAAAGCAATCAC